GGGTTTAGTTTAGAGTTTAGGGTTCACATTTAAAGCATACATGCAAATATCCGTGCATACCTACGTACACACACATACACACGTGCATCTGTGTAAGCTATCTGCTACAGATACAATGTACATGGTGTTGTTTTGGCCTCTGTCTCTCTCAATCTAAGTGTGTGCCGGCGATTCCTTCGCTATCTCATTTGTCCGCACATTGACACCCCACCCGAGATGAATCGAGGGTTGCGTATTGTGACCCGTTCTGAGCATGCTATACTAGGACCCAGAGTAGGCCNNGCCCTTATTCCCTTTTTTAGGGTTCAAGGTTCCCTTATAAAGTCCTTTAAACCAAAAAGGGCACCCTTTTTGTTCCGAGGTTTCTCTTGGGTCTAGTATAGCATGGCACAACAATGGGTCGATTAGCTTCATCCGCCCACCCTAATTCAGCGACATCTGTCCGCAACAGGCGCGACAGGGCGCCGCGGGTGTCCACACCATAAATAGCGAGGATAGCTATACCCATAGGCCCCTAAGTAGTTCCTTTTTGGGATTACCTTATAGGATTCTAAATATAAACCATAAAAAGGAACTACATAGGGGCCTATGGGTAAATTTCATAGAAAGGCAAGCTCTTTTGAGTAGTTTGGACGACGCAGGCTCGGCAAGACCGGTCCTGTTGGAGCGGGCCATGGCCTGCAGCGAGATGAGTCTGGAAGCTTCTAAGCCCTCTTACCCGGACTGGCCCGAACTCAACCCTAAACCCTCAACCCTAAACCCTAAACTCCAAACTCCCTAAAGCCCGAAACCCTATTAACCTAATCTGAGCCCAATACCACCTTAATTAGGGAATGTATGCCTCAAATTGTAGGGCGCCTGAGTATTATGATATAGGGTAAATTCCTTAATTAAGGGGTATTATGGGCTGTCTGGGTACTGTTGTTAGTTAAATCCGTGTTCTTGGCGTCCGCGTTACTTGTTATTATCACCTTCGGAGGCTCAGAACCTCCTGGTGCTTAGTAGGGAATGGGGGAATGGATCCCTATGATAGTCACGTAAGGTCCCCTATATAGTAGTCCCAATAACCCATTCCCCCATTCCCTACTAAGAACCAGAGAGAAAAGTGCGGTGCGGGCCAGGGTTTGCAATGTCAAGGCTGAGCCCAAGACTTTCAGAAACTCACAGCCTGACTCCTTCCCCCCTCCCTATATTTTCCTAAAGATGGAAGTGACTTGAAGTGACATCCCCTGCATGATTCGCCAGATGCAAGCTCGCAAAAACCACCTGTGCAAGCCCGCTGCCAGGCTGGTGCGGTGCCCCGTTGCCGAAGAACGGTCCGAAGCTTGGCCCATGGGCTAGTGCCGACCACTATTCCTGGGCATCAAAGAGATGGGAGGGGTGGAAGATGGTTGTCGAAAACCCGTTTCCCGAAAGCACGACTTGGCAACACGAGACAATATGATGCAATGTGTGTGATGCCCGCCGCCATTTCAGCTGCCCCTGGGTTCAAAGATCTGGCACCGTGGTTCCATTCCAGCCTGGAGCTTACGGAGCGAATTCGGCACGCTACTGCATGAGCGGCTGAAGCCATTGCGGTGTCAGCATGGAGTCGTAGATACGTGCTTCTGAGGTCTCTTGCCTCGTCGTCATGCCGCTTCCCCCGGTGTCCGTCGCCTTGGCCTCGATGGAGGCTGACGAGCTGGCCGAGCCCATGAAGCCCGCGTCCGCGGTGGACCCGGAGTGTGCCGCAGAGGCCGATGCCAAGGAGCACGCCCTGTGTGGCGTCGCAGGGGAGACGATGCCCGAAGCAGGGGGTGAAGCCTCGGGCAATGACTCGCCGCACGCCGCAGTCTCGGATGCTCCGGGTGCCCCGGAGGAGGCCGAGGCCGAGGAGGCGGAGGCGGAGGAGGCCACCGGCAAGCGCCAGCGCAAGCAAGGCCTGCGTGCCCGGGTCTTGGCAGAGCTGAAGTCCACAAGTTCTTGCGACATGAAGGCGCGCTTGGAGTCCCAACTGGCGGAGCAGGATGCCTTGATCAGCGGTTTCAGAGATGTTGAGGCAGCCAAGCAGAAACTCGTGGAGGAGGCCTTGGCGGAGGTGGAGCGCCTGAGCCAAGTGGTCAAAGAGGCGGCCGAGCGCGAGGAGCAGGTGCTGGCCCAAGCCAAGGAGCTACGGAAGCGAAACTAGGTTCTCGAGTAGTACCCGTACCCTTTTGCCCTTTTTTCGTTTTGGGTTCCCTTTTTTTAAAACAGAATAGTAGGAAAAAGGGTACCCTTATTGTTACGGGGCTACTGGGGAACCAACCCTAAACCCTAAACCCTAAAACCCTAAACCCTATAAACCCTAAACCCTATAAACCCTTATTGTTACGGGGCTACTGGGGAACCTAGGAAAGAAGGAGGCTGCCAAGGAGTCTTTTGAGCGCCAGAAGGAGGTCTCGCACCACGAGGACCTGCTCGTGATCCTGGGCTTCGAGGTACCTGAAAACCCGAAAAAAAACCTAAAAACCCCTAAGCCCGAGACCCAAAAAAACAGGATCTCCTGTTTCTTTTGGGCTTCGAGGTGGAGCGGCGCCGGAAGCTCAAGGAAGCAGAGGCCAGCATGGAGTCCGAGAAGGACGCTAAGCGCCAGAAGATCCAGGAGCTGCTTCAATTAGCCGGGCCCTCGGTGTTAGGGTACTACAGGGTATTAGGGTATTAGTAGGGTTTAGGGTTCAAGGTTTAGGGTTTAGGGTTTAGGGGAGCTTCTTCAAGTAGCCGGGGCCCCCGGCAACAGTATGCAGAGGTGCCTCGGTTTAGGGCCTTGAGGGTTTAGGGTTTAGGGTTTAGGATTTAGGGTTTAGGGTTTAGGGTTCTTCCGGGCATCTTTGTCTTACTTGATGCTTTGGCTATGGAGATCTCAGAGATCAGCAGAGTAGCTGTGCAGTTGGTAGTTAGTGACACTTGCAGATGTGTTTCGGGGTTACATCGCTGAATCTCGCAAATTCCCATCGCGAACTTTCCTGACCTGCCTTGTGCCTAAACCCTAAACCCTAAACCCTAAACCCTATACCCTAAACCCTAAACCCTAAACCCTAAGCATGCAAGCACGGGGAGAGAAAGAGGATGCAGAGTCACCAGGGAGGCGGAAAGAGGACTTGGCCTCTTGCCTAAAGCCCAGAGACTCCCACACCCCTTATCATTACAGAATTTTTAGGGTTTAGGGTTTAGGGTTTAGGGATCTATGCCTTAAAAGTTTCACTGGACTCCCAAACCCCTTAGAAATTAAGGAATATAATATATGCCTTCAATTTTCCACAGGATTGAAGGTCTATATTCCTTAATAAAGAAAACAGGGGTTTCGGAGTCTCTGGGAGCCGGAGAGACGAGAGGAGTGCCGTGGGTCGAGGTCGAGGATGCCAAGAAGGCCCAGGATGAGATGCGCCAGCGAGAGAAGGACAGGGGCGGTCAGAGCAGCTTCATTGTGTACTGCTATCTTTTTTCTTCTTACTTATGTGTTTTATCTTATTTTGTTATTATCCGAATTATTATTCATGCACTAATTTCACTATTTTGTATCATTATCATTATAACTGCCCAGGTGATTATTGGAATCATAATTTTTGTCACCTCAATGTTGTTCAAATTGTCGTTTTCGGTTTGCCATCTTGGAACATGTTACGTATTATTCGTAGAGCACGCTGAAAGAGAGGTCCCGTTCGTTTGTTCCAGCTACCCAAAGACTCCAATATCCCGTAATTAAGGAATATACCAAAAATCTTATTATAATTTAAGGTATATTCCTCAATTAAGGGATATCGGAGTCTCTGGCTACTGCGGAGGAAGCTCGGCAAGCCGTCCGACAGCTGGAGAAGGCCCGGCTCCGAGCAAAACAGCCCTTGCATGCCCTTTGCTTCTTAGGATCGTGGGAGTTGCCGGCAGTAGCTTATATTATATATTTTTTTTGTTTTTTTAATTGTGTTCTTTATTATTATTTTTTTTTTTTGGGGGGGG